CGGGTCTCTGACTCCCTGGCAGGGAGGAACTGGGCATTGTTGCCAAAAATAAACGTTCCCTCTCCCGCTCCCTGGCTCCCGGCTCCCGCTCATTAGGATGCGTGGCGTTTGGCTGCGGTCCCACACCTTGCAGCTCATTATAAATATGCAGTCGCTGCTGGCGCTACCCCAATCATCTCTGCAATCAGAGCTTTTAATTAGGTTAATTAAATTGTATCAAATCTCGCAGGGACGCAGTTCACTGATGCTGATGAGGCAGCCAAAACAGACCCCAGCTCCTCCGCTAATGAAGGCCGCTGCCTGCCTGAGCGGTGAGGGATCAGGAGCGCATAATAAACGGGCGCGTCCTGCGGGAAGAGCTGCTGCCCAGGCGGCGGACTCTGGGGGCCAGGCAGGAGATCTGCATCCAGACCAGGCTCCAGCTGCAGCGGAGACTCCCACGGGGTAGCCATCCCGTCGGCTCCAGGATGAAGGGGTCAGCTCTAGGAGCCTGGGCAAGTGGGCAATGGCAAGGTCCTGAGCACCTGCCATTCCTGCATGGCAAATTGGGTGAGCCCCCTAGGTAGACCACTCTGTCTGGGGCACCCAGTTATATTTCTCTCCCAGGATGGCCCAAGGTCAGGACTGTCCCCATACACAGAGAGAGAGAGAACCCTGTCACTAGCCCTGGGATTGTCTTATTAGCCAGTTGGGCCAGACTGAGACCAAAAAGCTCATCCAGCCACTGCAGGCCTAGTCTCCGTCTGCCATGAAGGCCATCTGTCCCTGACACCAGGGAGTGGGGTGGTTTATAAAACTACCAGCCAGCGACAGGAGGAGTAGTGGCACCCCTAGTCTCTGCACACCAGATGGACCCTGTATCTTCCCACCTATACCACTCCACCTTAAGAGCCCTCTCTAAACAGAGGGACGCTTGCCCCAGGCCCTCTGGGACCAAATCACCTAGGGGATTCAAGCTGAGGGAGACTTGTCCATTCCTGGTTCCTCCCCATCCCAGCTCCCTTGCCATCCTCTGCCAGGCAGTGGAGACTCCAGAACCGGAAGGCCCCCAAAGGTCCTCCACCTGCTTTTAAGCAGGACTGCAGCTGCCCCCAACACTCTCTTCAGCCCCGTTCTAACCTCTCCTCTTAACCACCACCCAATGTCACTGAGCAGGCAGATGAGAGAAGATGGGGAAATTTTCAGCCCTCTCAGGACAATTTCTGCTACAGAAGCTGGGTTTTTGGTTTGGAAATGTTTTTTTGTTTTTTTTTTTTACTTTCCACCCAGTAATGTAAAAACATGAAACCTGAAACCAACCCCCTACATTTGCCACCTCAGAGAGAAGCCTTTGGGGTAAAGAAGAAAGCTGTAAATGAGTCAGGCGGGTTGTTGGGGGGTGCCCAGCTGCCTCTGGGACACCAGTTTCATTAACACTTATGATCTAAGCATGGTCGTCAGATGACAGGGGACAAGGGGAGGAGGCAGTTGCCTTCCCCACCTCTTCTTACCCGCAAACACAGCAGACCCGGGGATAAAGTTCTTCAGGACCAGCCTCACCCCCAGCCTGCAGCAGAGGTCTCCAGACTGTGTAACTGAAAGGCACAAGTCTGCTCCCCTCACCTAAAAGAGCCACGGCCATGACTAGGACCATGGGCTAAAATGGACAAGACTGGATATGAGAATTAACTATGAACTTCAGTTAGGATACAGGAGTTCCCAACAGAATGATAGATGCAGGAAGGGGGAACAGAGATGCCTTATAGGGAGTCTGAAAAGGCAGGAGAGATTTTTGTCTTCTGACCAGAAAAGAACAAGCAGAAGCATGAACTTCTAGCCTTCTATCCCTACGGTGGTGGACTTGGGAAAGGAAGTTTTGCCTCATTGTTTCAGAGCTTCTCTCTGATCCTTCCCTGCACTCTGCTGAGGCAGACCCAGGCAGCTGGTTGGAAGCTCTGCCTGCAGGGAGGCCCCGTGACCTGGCTGGCTCCAGAGGGTGCACCCTCTGACCCCAGGAGAAGCTGCCAACTCAGCCCCCAGACTGGTACTTCAGGTCCACCCCCAATTCCTCCACTCACCTGGGGCTTTGGGCCAAGACTCCCACCCAAGCTTCAGCCTGCCCTTCCCCGACACCCTGTGCATGAGGCTCCGGGAACTGGCATGCTGGGAGAGTTTGAGGTGGGAGGGAGGCCAGCACCACACACCTACTTGCCTCACTGTTTCAAGTCCCAACAGGCCTGGCCTCACCGGTCTCCACAGGTAGGCAGAGTGAGTCTGCATCTGTTGGCTGTCTTCCCTACTGGAAGACGTGCAGCTCTAACTGTTCTGTGCCCCACAGACAGTAGCATAGGGAGAGACAGCAAGATACCAACACTCAGCAATGTGAGTGAGACCCCTACCAGGTTTTGATAGAACCACTCTTTGGGTAACCTGGGGCACAAAGACAGAGCCCTGGGAGACTTCAATGCTTCCTATGTGGTCCTCACTACCAAGGACCATTTGGGGAAAGACCTTTCCTGTCTACTCTTCTTGGGGCCACCAGAATCTCAAGATCAAGGGAGAAAATGTTTTTCCACGGGTGCACTCCCCCATGGTATAACAGATAATAAACATACTCAGCACATAGGGAGTACAAGGAGGATTGTGAAAGAAGCATAGTGTACTAGGTGGGTGGACACCAGCACCAGAGAATCATCCCAGCAAAGGGACAGCAGCTCCACCTGCTGGGCCCTTTCCCAACCGTCACCAGAAATCCATCTCCTCCAAATACAACATTTTTTATTCCAGAATAAAAGGCAGGGTGACAGCTTGGTCAGAAGGGCAATCTGAAGACAATGCAACGAACTATGACTGCATTGGACTCACACTCTTTGCTGGACAGCTGCTTTCTAAAAAACAGCTATCTGGTCTGTAATTCATGTAGCTGCTGCTTTAGAAAAGGTTTGTACAAGAGACTGAACCACATGAATCCCAGATTACAAAAATACCCTCTACCTCCCGAGGCTGCCCACAATGCCCTTGACACAACCAGAGCAGGATGCCAGCAGCAGCCCAAATCATCCCTGAGCCTGGATGGGTGGGGCCTAAGAAAACAATATTCTCCCTTCCCAAGGAGTAAGCAGGAATCTGAAGTCCCACTGAGCATCAAAGCTCTGGCCTATTCTCAAGACCCACAAGGGGAAACCAATCTCTGTCCTGAGAATTCCTGGGCCTCAGAGACGGCCCTCAGTGTAGCAGCAATTCAGGACACTCAGCCATATCCACTTGCAGGTTTCTGGTTACCACTGGCTTGAACTGAGGGTATTTTAAGAGGTTTGTTGTTTTTGCATGCCATTCAGTTCTGACTCAGAGACCCTGTGGGTTTGAACCACCAACTTGTGTAGTCAGCAGTCCAGTGCTTATCATACAGAGCCACACCAGTACTCTGAGAGGATAGATTTCATTTAACCTGCACAATCTGCCTCTCTAAGCATCAATATATGTGAGGACCCACACTGATGTGAGACACCTTCGTGGTAGGTGTGTATGAGTCTGTTTACCAGGACTGAGTTGCTATGTTTTGTGTACCTGTGAGTCTATGAGGGGTGGGCATATGCTCCATAAGAAGGCATGTGCGAATACACCTGCTCCAGAGACCCACCTTCCTACCCAGCCAGGTGCAGAAGCAAGGGTAGGAGAAGCAGTATCAAGCTGTACTGTCCCCACAGTCTGCTGCTTGCTCTGCGCACTCCCCTGTCCCACCCCATGTCACTAGGCCCTTCCCTGGCTTGGGATTCAGGTCCCCAGATCCCCATCCTGCAAGTCCTCCACAGGAGTTCTTCCACACTGGGAGGCACTTCCTAAAGATAAAAAGTTGCTAAATTCTATTCCTGCGGCCCTTCTTCCTATTTTCTAGAGACTCCTGAGCTAAATCCCACCGAGTATAACCTGAGGAAACAGGCTTTAATGCCAGGCTCTGTACAGAAAACCTGGCAGATACAGGCACTTATTAGGTGTTAGTATACATATACACACCCCTCAGCAGGGTCGCTAGGAGTCAGAACTGACTCCACAGTACACCAATACCACCACCACCATCATACATATATAGATCTTTAAAATCCACACAGCTGTTCCCCCTCTGGGGCACTGGTGAGGTGCAAGCAAGCCTTCCAAAACCCTGTTCTCCACCCCACCCCCATTTGCTCTAAGCATGCTCAGTCCTGTTCTGATGGGCCTCAGCCTACAATCCCTGTATGGGCAGGAAGGGTACAGCTCTGAGTGTAGAAGTAAACTGCCATACACTCTAGGATCTGAATCCCAGGGTGAAGGGCTGGGCCCAGTCTTTCACAGTGTGGCAATCAAAGGCTGGCCAGGAGAATAAAAGGCAGGAACCGAGAGCCAGGTCTATTCCGGTTTCAGTTTCAAGAACAAAGAAGTGTCTCTGGAGGTTCTGGGCTCCATGAGTTTCTATCTGCAGCTTTAAAGTTTAAGAGAGAAAGACTTTCTCCTGAGATAATTTATGAAGCCACTTGAGTAGCCGATAAAAGAATAAATAAGGAATCATACTATCTACTGAACAAAACTTATTACAAACAATGCTCACTTTAATTATCATGAGCTGATATATATTACTTTAATTCTTCAAGATATAACAAAATGGAAAACACTAATGATTTCATATTAAATGAAAAAGAATATAAAACTGCTTGCTATAATTACAACTACCAAATACAAACACAAAAAAAAAACAGGGGGAAATAAGGAATAGCATAGTAGTTGCTCACTTCCTTACCCCTTAGCAAGAAAATTTGTTGTTCCTGAATAAATACTGGGGTTAAAGATGAATTTATCTATTTCTAAATTGCTGAAATAAGATTAAAATGTTCATAATGATATTTTTTTTAAAAAGGTTAATTATATACAAGTAAGACTGATATGACAACCCAAAAAAAACAGTAACACAAGGGAAGGGGCTTTGATGTTGTTTATGGAAAGCAATCACACCTTAAACTCACAACAAAGTAGGACTATAGACAGATCAAGCCCTGTGGACTAATGGAATGTGAAGTTCCCAGTGGGGGAGAAAGCAGAATTCTTGTCCATATAGTATGACAACATTCATCTAAGATATGTCAACGTTTTCGACGACTCTGAAATTTGTAAATAGCCGGAGAATTGACTGTGGCATTCTTCACCTTCACCTTCTGAGTTTTATCCTACAAAAGAGTACAGAGCAGTGTTTATTCAGGAGAGACAAAGTTCTAATGCCCTAACGCATCCACAGTGTGCAATGAATTAACTTCCCTCCTGCGTATCTACAACAGTACTGGCTATGTGCAATTCCTGGGGAAATTGAGAAGGGAGGTATTGAAATCATTTTTTGTAGGTTCTCTCTCGGAACCTCAGTTGAGAAAGGCTGACCTAAGTAATCTGCAAAGCTAAAGAATTTGACATTTAGAGAAATGATAATAATATGAAAGAGGCGTCTTAGATTCCTTAGCTCTGCTATTTAACTGCACAATGTTGTCTATTTTTAAACACCAATGAGTGACACGCACTGTTTTGTTAACCTGTTTAAATGTTAAGGATAGCTGCTCATAAGCTATAAAGTTCATACGCTACCCGATCCTACCCTTTGCTGTTCCAAAGCACTGACTAATAACCCCCTTATTACCTTCTTAATCAAGAAGCATTTCAACACTGTCAGAGTAACAGACATTGGCTCAAACCACTGCCCCTAAGGAGCAGACATTTTCACTGGGGTTGATTTACACACAGCTGAAATCCAGTTTCAGTTAAGACCTTTACAAGCAGGGAGGAAAAGAGGGCCTAAGGCTTCTCTCTCACCAGAAGATCTTTGCGTGTTTGAATTTTCTGTGCAACAACAAACAGTTGCTTCTCTCGCTCAATCCGCTGTGTCAGGTGATTGTATTGCTTTTGCCTTTCTTTAGCTATCCGCTGCAGAAGAAACACACACATTATCAATAAAACAATTAAAAAGATAAAAATGAGTTAAGAAAATGTTTGCTAATCCAGGTAAGCCCACATGCACAAGTGGTTTGATCAACTCCCTCCTCATTCCAGAATCAGCTTATGGCAATACCGGCTACTAAAATCTTCATTTTAGAAACATCACATTCTAGAGTGCTGCAGTGGTTAAGCACTCAGCTGCTAACCAGAAGGTTGGCAGTTCAAACCCACAAGCCACTCCATGGAAGAAAGATGTGGCAGTCTGCTTCTATAAAGGTTACAACCTTGGTAAACCTATGAGGCAGCTCTACTCTGTAAACAAAACAATTAAATAGATAAAAATGAGTAAAAAAATGTTTCTCTACCCACTGAAGCCTATTCCAGAATCAATATAGCATAAACAACAAAGTCCATTTTAGAAATATCATATTCTAGAACTGAAAGGAACCTTGAGAACCATCTTACTGAAATCTGTTATTTTATAAATGCAGAAACTGAGATCCAGAGAAGAAAAGTAACTTGCCCAAGGATACACTGTTCATAAACACCCGGAAGCTTTACACTAAGCCGCTTCAACCTTCCTGTCAGAGCACCTGGTTACCGGAGGTGATGGCAGGTAGTAAGCCACACTAGAAAACCTACACAGAGTGAATGGAAAGTAACAGATGGGCCACCCTTCTGTCCTGTGCTGGAGACTGAGAACCTCAGAATTCAAGAGTTGTTGTTGTTAGGTTCCATCAAGTCGGTTCCAATTCATAGCAACCCTACGCACAATAGAAGAAAACACTGCCAGTCCTGCGCCATCCTCTCAACTGTTGCTAAACTTGAGCCCACTGGCTGTTGACATTACTAAGCCAATTCATCTCCTTAGGGGTCTTCCTCTTTACCTCTGACCCTCCATTTTACCAAGCATGATGTCTTTCTCCAGGGACTGGTCCCTCCTGATAATATGTCCGAAGTATGAGAAATAATATTGTCCCATCTTGTCTTCTAAAGAGTATTATGTTTGTACTGCTTCCAACAAGATTTATCTGTTCTTCTGGCAATCCATGGTACTTTTAATACATACTCTTCTCTGACAGTATAACTCAAATGCATCAATTCTTCTACAGTCTTCCTTATCTACTGTCCAACTTTCACATGCATATGAGGCTATTAAAAATCCACAGGTTGGATCAGGTGCAACCTTAGTTAACAAGCTGACATCTTTGCTCTTCAACACCTGAAAGAGGTCTTGAGCAGCAGATCTGCCTGATGCAATACATCACCTGATTTCTGGACTGCTGCTTCTATGAGTGTTGATAGTGGATCCAATCTTTTCTCCATTTATCATGATGTTATTTATAACATGGCTCAGTAGTGAGGATTTTTTTTTTTCTTTACACTGAGATGCAACCCATACTGAGGTTGTGATCTTTGATCTTCATCAGTAAGTATTTTAAGAGACCAGAGATCAGGGTTTTTCCAAAGTTAAACTGAGAATTCTCACTGCTAATGACTCCATGTCAGAGTAGAACTGAGCTCCATAGGGTTGGTAATTAACTTTTTTTAAGGAGATCACCAGGTCTTTCTCTGGAGTCACCTCAAACCTTTGAATTTTTAGCTGTACGTGTGAAATCATTTGCACTACCCAGACAGTTATTATTAGCTTCATTATTATGCTTTTCCTTGTAAACTGTCCCAAGTTGCCTTTGGGAAGAGCAATTGTTTAATCAAAAACACAGGAAAAATCTGCACACACACAAAAAAAGACCAAAACACAGAAAACAAACACACTGCCATCACATTGATTCTGACTCATATCAGACCTGTATAACAGAGTAAATTGCCCCATAGGGTTTCCAGAACTATAAATCTTTATAGAAACAGACTGCCACATTTTCCTCCCAAAGAGCAGCTGGTGGGTTTGAAGTGCCAACCTTTTAGTCAGCAGCTAGGTACTGCAACCAGCTGCAAACTAAATTCCCTTGTAATCCACCCACTTGCTGCTGCTGTTGATAAACTCCACTGAGTCATTTCCAACTCATGGTGACTCTGTATAGTGTTTCCACGGCTGTAATTCTTTGCAAGAGCAGAGAGTGTCATACGTCTCCCACAAAGCAGCTCGTGGGCTTGAACCAGTAACCTTATGGTTCACACACAGTCCAGTACTGATCCTACAAAGCCACTGCACTCCCAATCCTCCCACTGGCAGCCCCTTAATAAAATATTATTTTGCTTTAAATAAAGCAACCCAAACATTGCTAGACAAAAATGACAAAACCCAAACCTAGCCCCCTTCTCAAAAGCTATGTTGTGAGCTATTCTACACAGAAGTCTGAGATAACTGAAGACAACTAATTGTCAAAGAGGGTTATCACAAGAACACTAGTCAGCCGCCACTCCTCAGCTGGAAGTGTTAACTCCATCGAGGGGAACAGTACTGGGCCTCAGACTGAAACAATTCACCAATTCTTCAGAGTCTCACAGCAGTGGTTTCAGACAGCTTTTGTTTTCACTTTATTGCACAGACTGTCAAATTTATGGGATTACCCAATATAGTCAAACTAATTAGGGGTATTTATATTACTAAAGCAAGTTTAGCTGCCTCTGAGCTAGAGGAAACTGCTGTGAAATTAAACATTGGAAGCAAAGCTGATGCGGTGTAAATGATTCAAATCAAAACAGAACAGCTGTCTGCTTGAAACACATTGACAGCATTTTTTTAAAATGAATCAGTCAGAAGTGAGAGTTCAACTCCAGAAGGCTTTGAGAAAAAGCTTGTCTTCTGCACAAACCCAGCTACAGCAAAGGAAAGCACCATAAGGAAAAGTCAAATACAAAATGCTGGTTAGACTCATTCGCGGGGATCTGCTGAAGGTTCAAGATCAAAGTATATACCAAAGCCCTTAATCCTCCGTGTCCCCACCTTGCTCTGCATTTTTTAAATGTTTGGCATTGGTTTCTAAAGGCAGAACACCTAAGCTCCTGACCACTATATGCTACACAACCTCCAATCTCAAAACCCACAGCGCCCTCCTCTGCTTCTACTCCCATAATCAAATTCTTTTTTCCTTTTTCTAAGGGAACCTAATGAATTTCCCACAAATAATCATATTCACTGCAGTGGTATACAAAGGAACCTAGATTGCCCTAAAGTCAAATCTGAAAAACAGTGGAGAAAATTACCTTAAATTGAGACTGACGGGTAACTCCTTTCACTTTTTCCTTCTTCAAGGTCTCTATTGTGGGTCTATTAAAGACCCTGTCAACCAGTTCTGGGGCTGTGCGGAGGTGAGTTGCAACATCAAAGTGTTCAACTAAAAGGCAAGACAATCCTTAAGGCAATGTCCAAAATCTGTTTCCAGGCAACACAGACCAATGTGCCGGACTGAACCAGAAACCTTCAATCATTCCCTACCTTCTTTTTTGGTGTCAAAAAAGAACACATGCTTCTTCTGTTGCTTCCCCTGGAAGTCCAGCAGATGGAGCTCTGATTTGAGTCTTTCAATTTTCTAAAACAAAGATTATGATCTCACTTCATAATGGGCTCTTCTGGGGGATCAGGCATGAATTACTAAAAAAGTTTAGCCACTTCACATCATTATCACCAGCAAGCAAAGAATGTGTTTACTTCATTCGTTTCAAGGAAAGGGCCATTATAATTTAGGTAGTGTAGCTAGGCATCCCACAACACTCATTTAATCCTTACAACAGTCCTGTGAGAGAGAGAAATGAGGAAACAGCCTCAGGGAAATTAATTTGCCCATAATCATGGGCTGCGTAAACGGCAGAGCCAAAATTCAAACCTAACTCATTCCTAAACTTGAACTCTTTACATTCCACCATGCTGATTACACTTCTAATTCATTATCACAATTAAGCATATTTTAAAATTCTAAATGCCAGAAGACGTCAATTTATGACTTGAGATTGATAGATTTATGTTTCCTGTCTAATCTCACAAAAAGACTTCAGAACAGAAGAGTTTTATTTGTTACCTTAGCTTCTGCAACTCTTTTCATTTCTATATATTTCACATCCTGAGTTCTCATCAGTTTCAGCTGTTCTGGAGTTGCTTCTTCTTTTGTCTCCTTAATAATATGAACTCCATCCTAAAATCCAAATTTAAAAGATACATTCCCTATTAGATTAAAAGCATTAAATTAGCACTACATAGTTCATGGCTGAAGCAAGGGCAACTCAGTGTTGTATGCTGGGCCCTGAGATGCATATAATAAGGGGGCTTCAGAGAGTTAGTGAAAAATTGAAAAGATAATGGAATTTTTCCACTGACTTTTTGAAGCCCCCTCGTGCAATAATCCACTCTTAGAACAACTTAATACATAAAACACCTCAAATTCAGAAGCAGAAATTCATGTTGCCCCTAAGGGTACAGGTGTATCTTGGATATTGACCAAGAGCACCTGGCTCAGAGAAAGGTTACACTAAGGCCAGAGTCTTGGTGTGGCGCTGTACAACACGCACCAGACCACAAGGTCGGCGCTTCAAACTCATCAGACGTTCCTCGGAAACCCTATACAAGGTCACTATGAGTTGGAATCAACTCAATGGCACTCAACAACAATAAATATTAAGGCCAAAGATTCTTCCTCTCCAGCTTCTCCCCAGCATACACCAATTACTATTTTCAAACAGTTGGAACTCAGAACATTTATCAATTAAACACTCACCTGGAGTTTAACCCGAGTCATTTTATAGTAGAATTCATCTGGATTTTTTTCAAGAGCCTTCTTCCGGAGAGCTCTGAGGTAGTCTTGCTTTTTACGGTAGTCACTAGATAAATTAAACAAGGCTCATAGCAAAAAAGGACATGGTGAGCAGACTTCATAAGCATCTACAAGTTCACACAAAATGAACCTCCAAGAAAGCCAGAGCAATGACTGGATCTGATCCATGCTCCACTGTCACTGATGGTAAGCACCAGTCTAGTAGGATGCACAGTGTAATAGTCCTCTCCTATCCCAATCCTATCTGAAATGAACAGTCCTGTGGTGCTGTGCATTAGGTGTTGAGTTGCCAACCACAAGGTTGGCAGTACAAACCCATCAGTCGCTCCTTGGAAGAAAGCTGAGTCTATCTGCTCTCGTTAAGACTTACAGTCTCGGGAACCCGACTCTGAGTTGGAATGGGCTCAGTGGCAGTATGCTTGGTTTGAGTTTGGTATAGGATCGCTATGAGTCACAATCAACTCAATGACAGTGGATTGGTCTGCCCTGGTGGTACAGTGGTAAGGTGCTCGGCTGCAAACTGAAATGTCAGCACTTCAAATGCACAAGTTACCCTGAGGGAGAAAGTTTTGTAAAGATGTATGCAACTTGGAAACCCTATGGGAAAGTCCTACTCTGTTGTACAGGGCTGCTAGAAGGCAGAATCAACTCCAGGGTAGTGGGTCTTTGGGTTGATCTGTAAACAGGGAGCCCAGGTGGTGCCGTGGTTAAGCATTCAGCTGCTAAGTGAAAGGCTGGTAGTTTAAATACACCTGCGACTCCACAGGAGAGAGATGCAGCACTCTGCTTCTGTGAAGACTTACGGTCTTGGGAAGCTGACGGGACAGCTGTACTCTGTCCTTCAGGCTCACTGTGAGTCAAAATCAACTCAACAGCAACCAGCTCTGTTTTTATGGTTGTATCCCAGAGAATTACTAAAACGACTAAAAGAATGCAAATCCTGAAAATCTCCTAGGCACTACCTGGGCCAGGATCAGCACTCGATTATTATTATCAGCAGCAGCTTCTCAACTCTAGGAGCCCCAGCTACTTATGTCATCACCAACTGTACCAGGAGCATAAGAAGGACTTCAGCTGACACATTCAGCTAACAAATATTACAAAGTATTTTGCAATTAAGTGCTGGAGAAGAAGAAGAATGGGGATAATTGTTTTCTTAAATGTTTTCAGAGTTCATTATCACCCACGCTCAGTCTCATGAATCCATCTTTCACATCTCTTCATTCCACACCACACACATGGTGATGGAAGCGACTCAACCACTGGAATTTTAGATAATATCTTGCACTTCAAAAAAAAATGGGAGAGAGAAAAAGATTCAACTTTTGGCTCAAACACCAAGGCAGAGGCAAATCAAAGTCACTGTGAGAAAAAGATCTAGAGCAGCATTTAAAAAAAAAAAAAGTCACAAAGCAACTACAGTTAAATACATAACGCTCTGCCTAAACAAAGAGAGGAGTTCCGTATCACAGAAAAGTATCTGACAGGCAGCCAGGGCTTTGGCCACTTTCTCAATGGCAGGAAATTATCCCCTGTTGGACACTCAAGCAGTTCAGCTGCAGCGGGGGGAGACTGTGAACTTTCTTGGCAGCAGGTCTACCAGAAGGACTGAACTCACTCTGCACGAAGTTTGTAATCTTTCTTTTTCTCCAGCAGGCCCAGATGTTTTCGAAAGCCGGGCTACAAGACAGAAGAAAGAAAAAAAGGCTTAGTTTCTTCAGCAAGCACATACCTAAATCAACTCAACACCTGATGGAAACAGGGCTCTCGAGGGAGAGCTCAGTAAATCATGTCCTTGCTCTCCTGTCTCCCCTCCCCCTCATGCTGGGCACTACCCAAGGATAAGAGGGAGCACGTAGGTGACCGAGAGGGCACAAGCACTGCCATCATAGGTTTCCTGTCCTATTAAGGACAGAGAGAGGCAACAATGACTCGGCACTAAGCAAGCAGTTGCCAGTTGTACTAAAATTACTACCAACTTAATCCAGGGGATTATAAATTACTATGAAGGGAAAACATAGTAACAGAAAGGCAACTATGTTAAGAGAGTTATATTAAGAGTCTGAAGACATGGGTTCAAATCCAAGCTTTACCTTTTAATAATCTACAACCTTAGGCAAGTCACTGAACTTCTCTGAGCTAGAGTTTCCCAACTGTAAAGTGAGAATAACAGTACCGACTTCACAGGGCTACACTGTGACTATTGTTAGGAGTCACTGATTCAAGTTTCTTCTCAAAGGCACCCCATGTCACAGAGTAGAACTGCCCTGTAAGGTTTCTGGGCTGTAATCTTTAGGGGAGCAGGTTGTCAGGTCTTTCTCCTGTGGAGTCTCTAGGTTGGTTGGGTTCTAATCACCAATCTTTCAGTTAGCAGCCAAGTGCTTAACCACTGTGCCACACTGGCTCCTTGTTGTTTAGTGAGGATGAAATGAGACTCTAAATAGAAATGCACGTAGCAAACGCCCAGCAAATGTTTACCATCAGCCTGTGGTACAAGGTCTGAGAGAAAACCAAGTATGACAGAAAACACTTTCTCTGTTTCTACAAGCTACCATTTGTTGAATACTGAGCTAGATTCTTTGTCTACATTATCATTGTTGTTGTTGTTGTTAAATGCTGTTGAGTGGGCTCCAACTCATGGTAACCATATATAGGGTGTCCGAGGAGTGGCTGCTGAGTCTGAACCACTGATCTTGCAGTTCAAACTGACCTTGAGGTCGAGTGCTACCCTATGTTGCCACACCAGGACTTCACATCATCATAATAGGCCATAATAAAAGGCCACATTTATTAAGCACTTACTCTGTTCGAAGGTAGAGTACTGATTTGGCACTGAAGGATAAGCACTGGACTGCTAACTGCAAGGTCAGCAGTTCAAATCCACCAGCAGCTCTTAGGAAACGCTATACAGGGTCGCTATGAGTCAGAATCGACTCCATGGCACATAACCACCACCACCAACTACCACCAGACTTTGAAGAGCCATGAAGGCTGGATGAACCCCTGAAATAACTGCCCTGAGTTCATCTTTACACCTTAAACCAAAAATATCCCCTGAAGTCTTCTGAAAACCAAACAGTCATTTAGCTTAACTAGTAATGGCGAGCATGATGTCCTTTTAAGATCTATATGGTAGAAGGTGGAACACTGGGGAAGGAATAGACACAGGATAATTTGGGTGCTGGGGAGAGGGCAATACACAATAAGGGGGTGGGGAATGGAAGAACAAGGCAGATGGGAGAACAGTTAGGCTGGTTTGCATGGGCGAAGTGGGACAGAGGTAAATAATGATGTATGCACAACCTTGGAACAATAGGGCTCTAGGATACAGGGATTGAGAATTGGTTCGGATGGGTAAAAGGGGAGAAATAATGTTAAGATGCTTGGCCGTCTTTTGAATCTTGGTTTCCCTTGCCTACCATTGTAAAATAGACACCTGAGGGGGAGAGAAAGAAATAGCAAGAAATATCAACATAGAGAGCTTTTAAGTGCATCTTCTGCTTATAACTGATTGGAATACCTAAAATGGAGCTACAACTTGCCCAGTGAAGGAGGCTTCCTGTGGAGCCTGTGCATTACATAAGACCATAGGTGGAATCCTGAACCCCATCCAGAAACTTCTGAGGTGGGAAATCGCCACATGAAAGGACACGCAGACCAGCCTGGAGCAGCTAGAAGAATAGAAGATACTTCTCAAAAGACCAAGAAGAAAAATAAAAAACAATAATGGCAGTCCAACTGACTACTACAAGAACAAGCAAGTTGCTCACCCAGGAGATATCAAGGCAAGTGGTCGGTTCCCCTCAGGGCAAACCCCCTTCCAAGACTAAGACTCAAGCAGAATACAGCAGCAAGCATGTGATCTGACTGGTGACCATGTTGGCAACCAATTAAGGGTAAGTGAGAGAAAAACAGCAATGAAGCTGCGAGCTAAGTCTGACCACATTCAACAGACTCCTATGAACCCAGGTGGAGACCTGGTTGGCCAGCAATATGGCAAGACCTGAGGACCCCTGGGCCCAGAGACAGTGACATAGCCACAGAGGACTAGAGCAGAGAGTAAAGCATCCAGCTGATAAGAAGTGAGGGGAGATGCACAAGAATACCCACACTTGCAGATAATACCCACTTGACGTGGCTTCAATGACTGGATGATCAGAAGAAGAAAGAAGAGGGGAAAAAAAAGTAATCTGATACAATCTGATGAACTTGACCTACACCTATGGATGCAATAGCTCAAAAGAGGGAACAAATCCTTACAGCAAGGATCATTTCCACCCCCTCGGTACACAGGGTAGACAGGGATGGGCAACCTGGACACTGGCTACCCAAAATGGGGGGGGGGGGCTACAAAATCAAGAAGTGACTGGCTTACACACTTTCAAAAGGGGGCCTAGATCCAGAGGGCGTGGAGGAAGGTAGAATCTCCACTGAGTAGTATCCAATTTGTCTGGGTGGGGCTGATGAAAGGAGGTGGTGGTGATAAGACTCTTGTGGTACAATAGTGAATAATTGTTATCAGGACTGACTGTGAGGGTTGGAAATGTAAAGGTAGACAATTTGTAAGAAAAAGAGGGGAGTGGTTGACTTTGCAGTCCAGGAGCAAGGTCCCTGGAACCATCGAGGGAAAGGAATGGCATGCAAGACCCTACCCAGAGAAACAGTGACACCAGAGATGGAGGCAGAGATGATGACATGGAGAGATGGAGCAGCTGTGGACTCTAGACCCAGAGAGGCAGAGGGGCTGTTGTGTGCTGACAACCAGGGGGCAGGCTTGCAGGGTTATACCCTTTGGTTGGTTGATGATGCATGGAGGGGATTGTAACCATGGCAATGAAACGATATACGATAGGATGAATGTAAAGCTAATGTTCTCCCATGCAAACTATCACATAATTCACAATAAAACATTTAAAAAAAGATCTATATTGTATCAATCTGACAAGAGCACCTCTTAATATTACATAGGAAACTTAGGAGGCAGTGAGTGTGTGTTACTAAGGCAAGAACAACTCAGAAAAGGAGAGTGAGAATGGCACACCTTGAAAACCAGAAACAATGTCACTGAGTGGTACGTGTAAAAACAGCTAAAATGGGATGCTTTGCTGTGTATATTATTACTGATGAAGATCAAAAACCACAGCATTCAGTAGCGAGTGTATCTCAATGTAAAGGAAACAAAAATCCTACCCACAGAACCAATAAACCACTCATGATAAATAGAGAAAATATTGACATTGTCAAAGACTTCATTTTGCTTGGATCCATCATCAATACTCATGGAAGCAGCCGTTAAAAAAATCAAACGACATATTGCATTAAGCAAATTTGCTGCACAGGAGCTCTTTAAAGTGTTGAAGAGCAAAGATGTCAGTTTTGAAGACTAAAGTGCACCTGACGCAATCACTGGTATTTTCAATAGCCTCCTATGCATGTGAAAGCTGGACAGTGAATAAAGAAGACCATTAAAGACTTGATGCATTTGAGTTATGGTGTTAGGGAAGAATACTAAATGTACCATGGACTGCCAGAAGAACAAACAAATCTGTGTTGGAAGAAGTACAGCCAGAATGCTCCTTAGAAGCCAAGAGGACCAGACTTCATCTCTTATACTTTAGACATACTATCAGGAGGGAACAGTCCCTGGATAAGGACATCATGCTTGAGCAGTGGAGGGACACAGAGATGAAAGGTATAGGAGCAGCAATGGGCTGAAGTGTAGCAGCAATTGTGAGGGATGGTGGTTCATTCTGTTGTAGGCTCACTACGGGTCAGAGCCAACTCAACAGAACCTAACAACAACATTCTCAAGAATAAGTGATTTTTAAATTAAAAATATTTAAGAGACTTTAGTTCTATCCCATCAATCACTTGCACAATGTTAGGTACAGCCCTTCCCCATGTTCCCTGTTTGTAAAAAGAAACTGGACCAGGTATCCTACCTCTACAGGCCTTTCTGAATCAGACACACAATGAATCCCAGAGCAGTGGGGAGGATACATTCTGCATAAAATAAGCCAACTTCTACTCAATCTCCCCACACAGAAACACCCTGTACAGAAATCCTACAATTGCTTATTTTGTCTGAGTTTGTTTTTGTTGATGGGCAAGTAAGTCCCTTCGACTCTCTAAGCCTCGGTTTCCTCATCTGTACAATGGGAAAGGAAAACAATTCAGAATGAGGCATAAACAAAAGTCTATGTGGCAGATCTTCACGAACCACAAAAGCTATCGAAAGATAGTGATACCACAATAGAAACATCAGCCCTACAGTCACCAAAACCAATGTGCAGGGGGCCCAGCCAGACCACTTAGTAGCTGTGACCTTTGACCACTTTACGCACACGATCTCACTGAAAACCCGCAGGACCCGGTGGATGATCCCAAATGACTGGGGCGCAGCCCCAACATAAAATGCCCAAACTTCCGGGAGACAGAGGGAAGTTTTTGTTTCCAAGCTGCCGCGAGGCTCCGCCCCAGCCACGGATGTTTTTTAACATACATTTACATAAGCTATTTAAGAGCCAACTATACAGGGTTCGGAGAGATGGGACCGGGACGAGACAGCTCAGGGGGCCACGGGCCAGCGCTCGTGGAACCAGTGAGGGGCTACCTGGCTTCGCTCTCGATGCTCCCGCTGCCGGGACTTAGCCGCCTTCCGAAAAGCCGCCGCCATAGCTGCTCAAGCCTGGGAAAATTCAGCACACACCACGCTACCGAACTGCTTCAGAGGCCGAGTCCACTAAACTCGCCGGAAGCAGGCCTCGCCTCCAGGGGCTTAGGACCGCCTACTTCCTCTGATCAGCCTATCCAACGCCTGATTTTCCGGAAATACGTCCATCAGCTAGTCGGCTACTGAAGACTTCTTGTGGGAAGTGTAGTTTCAGAGGTCTAGTCTCCAGTTCTTATTGGCCAGAGCGTATCCACGTGTACCAAGATACAAGCTTCGCGCTCGGCTCCGCGCTGGCACCTGGGAACACGTGGCTGACATTGCCGGCCTCTGGAGCAGGTCTGGGAGTTTGCGCGTGCGCGGTCGCCTACTTCGCGCCTTTTGCGCTATTTCCGCGGTACATTTAAAGGCAGGAGCGATGTAATTTTTTTTTTTTTTTTTTTTAAACAGTATACTGAAAAGCGCATCTATAGACAGACAAGAGACCTTAAACCATATCCGACTCAGCGTCTGATAAACTGTGTTACTCTTGCTTGGCAGGTCGCTTGACTCTAAATAACATCATTTTTCTCATCCATAAAATTAGGATAATAATAGCATGCACTGCTTGCCTCATAGGGGTATCAAGCGGGTCCATATCTATAAACAGCATAGAAGAGAATCACCTAATGGAAGTGGTCATAAAATTCTTAATTCTCCCACGCCCCTAAAGAAAAGGCTGAATGAATGAGGGTCTGAGACACTATACATGTAAGGGTTATAAAACCATGAACCAAGGAGGTGTGTTTCAATCCTAACTCAGCTATTAGTCAAGTTAGCTTCTCTGCGCCTCTGTTACTGATGTTGTGTGCCCTCGAGTGTATTGTGACTACTTTGTTGTTGTTAAGTGCCATGGTGGAGTGGGTTCCAATTCAGGGAAACCTGTATAACGTTTCCAAGGAGCAGCTGGTGGGCTTGAACTGTGGTTAGCAGTCCAGTGCTTATCCTTCAGCGCCACACCAAGCACCAATAACAATGCAACAGAATAGAACTGCCCCATAGTTTCCCAGCCTGTAACCCTTTCTGAAACAGATTGTTAGAGCTTTTCTCCAGGGGATTTGAACCACTAACCTTGTAGCATCGAAGCACTTAACCAGTGAGCCACCAGGACTCCTTCAGTCTCAGTTCATCTATCTGTAAAATGGAAGTAATAATACTATACCCACAGATTAAAACAATGTGTGTAAAAGTACTTACAAAAGGAACCCTGGGAGCACAACACTTGAAGCGCTGGCTGCTAAAGGAAAGGTTGGTTGTTTAAACTCACCCTCTGGCTTAGCACAAGAAATGACCTGGTGATCCCTCTAGTAAACATTGTTGTCACTGTTGTTAGGTGCCATTGAGTCAGTTCCAACCCACAAAGACAATGTGTACAACAGAGCAAAATTGCTCCTAGGCCTTTGCCATTCTCAAAATTGTTGCTATGTTTAAGGCCATGTTGCAGCCACTGGGTTAATTCATCTCCTTGAGGGTCCTCCACTTTTTTGATGATCCTGTCTCTACTTTACCAAATATGATGTCCTTCTCCAGGGATTGGTCCCTTCTGATAATATGTTCAACGTACATGAGACTAAGTCTTGCCTTCTTCACTTCCAAGAAGGCTTCTTGTTCCAGACAGATTTTTTTTCCAGTACTTTTTCCAAGACAGATGGATTACAGCCTAGGAAACCCTATAGGGTAGTTCTACTGTGTCACATGGAGTTGCTATGATTCAGAACCAACTTGAAGACTCCTAACAACAACAAAACAACAAAGTGTTCATTGCAGTGTTTGCCTCTTAGCAAGATCACACACAATAAATTAGAACTCCAGTAAAACCTGCAAAAGCTGGAAAGTAACACAGAAACCTGTCAGAGAAGGAAAGCTCAATTATGTTTCACTAAATAGAGAGCAATAGAAAATGATGACTGCACCTATCAAAGACAGAAAACTTTTGAAACCCAGAAAAACCCCCTTTGAGTTCTGCTCTTGCAGGATTGATTCACTGTATTGTTGCCATCATTAAACCTGCTTCTAAGGCTAGAGAGATGGAGTCCTGGAGTGGATTTGTAGGAACAGCACTGGACTGCTAACCACAAGGTCAGCAGTTCAAACCCACCAGCCACTTTTCGGAAGCCCTATACAGGGTCACTGTGAGTCAGAACTGACTCGATGGCACTTAATAACGAGAATAGAGAAAGTCTTGGAAACAGAACCTTTGGTTTCTTTTTTTATCACAGGAAGCTGATCTTCAGTCCTGCTAATTATGTGGTGCTGTAATAAATAGCACTAGACCGCTAACCACAAGGTCGACAGTTCAAATCCACCAGAAGCTCGTAACAATCCTATACAGGGTCGCTGTGAGTCAGAATTGACTCAGCAGCACTTAACAACAACACATGACAGGGACACGGATCTAGCTGAGGAACTCTGAGGAGCTCCTTTCTTCAGTCCCCAGAGGTGCTAGTCTCATAAATCAAAGGTCATGAAGCAGCTGAAAGTAGCTGAGATCTACTGTGTAAAAAGTCCTCTCCTGCTTCAGGACCTCAGCCTTGCCCAGTTTGGATCCCAAAATTCAATGTCATTTGTCATTTGCCATTAGAAGACAAGGCCCTACATGATCTGGCCAGTAACCACCTTTCCAGGCTCATTGTACTTTTTACCCCCTAGCCACACTGACCTTGCTTCCCCTGAGCAAACAAGCTCACTCTTCTCTCAAGCCCTCTACGACTGTTTTCCCCTCTGCCTGGAACCCCCAACCCCTAATGTTCACTTGGCTGCCTCTTTTCTTGCCCTTCAGATCTTGGCTCAAATGTGTTTTCTAGTGGCGTTTCCCACACCACTGCATTTGATATAACAGCCCCCATCCCTAGCCTGAATCAACTCGACGGCACTTAACAACAACATCCCTAGCCTAGTGTGGAGGCCTAGTGTGGCACTGTGGGTTAATTAATGCACTGGGCTGCAAAGTTGGTTTGAATCTCAAGTTCCACAGTTCAAGCTCACCCGTTGCTCCTCGGAAATACAGGGTTGCTATGGGTCAGAGTAATTCAGTGACACCTAACAACAACAACATCCATAGCCTGTCACATCACTCTGCTTCATTTTCTCCAAAAACACAGTCTGATGGTTTTACATTCTTCTTTATAGCTGCTTCTTCCCCCACCCCTCTACTTCCATACCTGTCCATTATAGTATCACCTCCATGAGATCAAAATCGTGTCTTATTTGCTGCTTGTATTCCCAGTGTCTGGAGAAAGTGCCTGGCCCACAGTAGACACTCTTTATATTTGTAAATGAATTGCCACCACCACATTCTCCCTCACACCCCCACCCCTGTAATCAACTCTGTGAGACTCTGTACAGTGAAACCTGTAAAAGCCAGAACTGCACTAGATTGTCTTGTTTCCCCAGGTCTCTCACGTTTTCTGCCTTTGATAAAACTAGGGAGTTTTCCTTCTCAGACAGATTTCCCCCTTCCACGGTTTCCTGAGTTTGCGGGTCTGACTGTATTATTACCTCCATTTCCCAGGTAGCACAGAAGCTCCGATTGTGCCATCCAGAACTGTCTGCAATGATGAAAATGTTCTTTAGCTACACTTCCAATGTGATAGCCACTAGCCTTGTGAACACATGCAACATGGAATTGTAGCTAGGGAGCTGAATTTTTCTTTTATTTCATTTTCATAGAACTTAATTTAAATAGCCACATGTGGCTCTATTGGATGGTACTGTTTAGAAGGCTAGTCAAAGGAAGAACGAACTTCTAATTTGTGGAAGAACTAGAACTAGAACCATTGTAACTGCAGTGTCTAATGCACAGAGTTGTTGGTTTTAGGTGCCATAGAGTCCGTGCCAACTCATAGCAGCTTTGTGTCTAACTGAAGGAGACATTGCCCAGTCAGTCCTGTGCCATCCTCACCCTACTAACTTGAGTCCATTGTTGCAACCTCTGTTGTTACTGCACCTCATTAAGGGTTTTCCTCTTTTTTGCTGACCTTTACCAAGGAGTCCTGGTGTGGCGCTGTGGATTAACGTGCCAGACTGCAGAGCCCTTTGAACTGCAAGGTCGGTAGTTCAAGCTCACCAGCTGTTCCTCGGAAACCCTACACAGGGTCACTATGGGTCAGAATCAACTCGATGGCACTTCACAACAACCACAACCAAGGAGTCCTGGTATAGTGCTGTAGGAATTAACACTGGACTAACCACAAGGTAAGCAGTTCAAACCCTCCAGCTGCTCCTTGGAAATACAAGATCGAGACGTGACGGCACTTAATAACAAAACAACACCTCTACCAAGAATTATGTCCTTTTCCAGGGGTAGTTGCTAGTTGTTAGGTGCTGTTGAGAGCAACAGAGCGAAACATTGCCCAGTCCTGTGCCAGCCTCACAATTGTTGTTATGCTTGAGCCCTTTGCTCTTGCCACCGTGCCAATCCAAGTCCTTGAGGTTTTCTTCGTTTTCACTGGCCCTCCACTTCATCAAGCATGGTATTCTTTTCCAGGGACTGGTCCCTTCTGATTACATGTTCGAAGTATGAAAGACAAAATCTCGCCATCTTAACTTCTAAGGAGCATTCCGGCTACATTTCCACCCAAATATAGAAGGGGCACAGATATTTGCTGTATGATAGAATGAACCCAAGTCTCCTGCATCCCAGTCCTGAGAGTTTTCCATGACTCTGTGGGGCTTCTTTAATCCCAGTCTTAGCTCAGAGGTTGAAGAAGGAAAAGGAACGAAAACAATGGTCATGGTCGTCATCTTATTGACAAAAAACCCAGAGTCAATAATGAGTCAGATTAAAAAGTTCACACATCAGACAGAGTGATCAGGTGGCAACTCCAGCTGTCCCTGCCCTTCCTTCAAAGAAAGCAGCTCTGTGTCCTGGGGGAACCCTGGAGGCCGGCCTGGATTTGGACTGGGCATCCACTACTTTATAGGACTGTGGTTTGGGGCCACAGTCTCAAACTCTAAGCCTTATTTCCTAACGTATGAAATGTTGATAA